CATGGAGACCGATCAATATTTACTTTTAAAATGTTCACCTCAGAACTTTTAAAGCCAAAGGGGCAAAGCCTACGGTCAGTATCGAAATGTGAATAGTCCTATAATGGTCCTTGGTATTGTAGCTATATTTTTGTAAAATTTAAGCCCAGTTGATTCAGTAGTTTTTGCACCTATTAGTAATACGCATACAGACAGACACCATTAGATTTTTATATAATAGTATAGATTTCCATGTACTATAGAGGAAGGGACCACATATAGTACAAAAGTGTATTTATTTTATATTCTTTTAACAAATAAAATAGTAATTTCTTATGCAAATTAGTGTCGTTATTGAGATTCATGGGGCCCACAAAGGTTTGTCACGAAAGTAGGGTCAGTAATACATCTTCATTACCTACCACTTTGTGTAATTGTAGTAGCACGATATCATCACGAAGGGTAAGTGTTTGTGCCACATCCTGATAAAGTGATACATTCACGCACACTTGATGAGTAATTCTGTACTTATGCTACTAGATCATTTCACATACCTCCTCAAACATGTACCAACACAAAGGGCAAGTGTTTCTATCGCATCCTGATAAAGTGATACATTTACGCACACTTGATGAGTAATTCTGTACTTCTGCTACTAGATCATTTCACATACCTCCTCGACATGTACGAACACAAAGGGTAAGTATTTGTATCGCATCCTGATAAAGTAATACATTCACGCACACTTAATGAGTAATTATTTACTTCTGCTAATAGATCATTTCACATACCTCCTCAACATGTACCAACACAAAGAGTAAGTGTTTGTATCGCATCCTGATAAAGTGATGCATTCACGCACACTTTATGAGTAATTCTTTACTTCTGCTACTAGATCATTTCACATACCTCCTCAACATGTACCAACACAAAGAGTAAGTGTTTATCGCATCCTGATAAAGTGATGCATTCACGCACACTTGATGAGTAATTCTTTACTTCTGCTACTAGATCATTTCACATACCTCCTCAACATATACCAACACAAAGAGTAAGTGTTTGTATCGCATCCTGATAAAGTGATGCATTCACGCACACTTTATGAGTAATTCTTTACTTCTGCTACTAGATCATTTCACATACCTCCTCAACATGTACCAACACAAAGGGTAAGTATTTGTATCGCATCCTGTTAAAGTGATACATTCACACACACTTCTTGTGTAACTCTGTACTTGTGTTACTTGTTCACTTCTCATACCTCCTTAACATATCCCAACACAAAGGGTAAGTGTTCCTGGTTCATACTGATAAAGCGATACAATCATGCATACTTTGAACTTTGTATACTATTTGTAGCTCTTTACTTGTTTTACTAGCTGCATGAACTTAGATGAGTTTAGATGAGTAGGGTCGGGTCATCAGAACAGGGGGTTATAGGGTTTCGAATCTTTTTTATATTTAAATATATTTAATTTCTGTTAACTGTGTGCTAAGTTTAGTAGGCTTCTCCTTCATTTTTTTTTTTATATTTAACCGTCCCGGTCTTTTTTTCTACCCTGTATTGTCAAATCTGAGTCAACAAAATTTGTCACAAAGCCTAAATAAACATGTTTTATAAGCAAAACATGCATTTATATTTATGTGACTTAGGACTGCTACGGGATTTATGGAGGGTATAGGTGAAGCTTTGGCGGGTGATCGGATAATCGATGGAATTACAAACACACCTGTGGCTTGCTGGGAAGGGAACGTTGTGGGTGGTTGAGCAAAACATCTTGGCACACATGCTCTGCGTTCAATATAAAACTAAGTACAAGCATTAAGCACGACTTCTCAACTTCATTTAAGATTATTTCCCCAAGATAACACTTAAGAATAGTATAGGGTCTAATAAAGTGGCTCTTTAGTGGCTATATATTACTAAAAGAAGTTTCTTCTTGCTCATTGTTTTTTTTTTCATCATGGATCGTCTTTTTACAACAATTTTAGTAAACCTAGTTAAAAAAAAAACTCATTGCTCGTTATGAATTTGATTTATTATTGGCTGTGCTTGTATATATAACTAGCTTGTACCAGCAGTTTCTTCATCATTCAACATAAGAAATAAACAGCGTGTAATCCAAAACATGTGACACAAGTGGATGATTTGCAGTTTTAATTTGTTCAAATTTAAATTTTTATTGCGGACCATGCCTTTAGTTCTGTTACGGTTTTGCTAACAGTTGAGTTATCCGTAGTCCAGAAGTTCCCTTAAAACTGCTCTCTTACTTCTGCTCTGAGCCACCGACTCACCTGAACCCCCCCCCCCCAAAAAAAAGAAAAAACACACACACACACACTTTCACAAAGTGGCGGATCCAGCCAGCAATTGCCATGCATTTGCCAAATGATGAGTCCTGGCCAAAAACATATTTTACATTTGGTTTCAGAGTGAGTAGTCCGAAACTCTTACTGGAAGGGCAGTTAATGTCGTAAATTAAGAAGTTTTCCTTTAGTTATAACTTTGTTAGTCACACATGCTTAACTAAATTACAGTAAGTGATTATATTAACGGATTTAGGCCTAATATGTTCTTTTTTGCCTATCAGATTTAAATTTAACTTTTTAATTGAAATTTTTATGATCGATGCCATGACGTGTTTGCTAGTATGTATATATATGTGTGTGTGTGTGTGTGTGTGTGTGTGTGTGTATACAGTATAGTGTGATCAGTATGATGAATATGCACGTACACGATAGGCCTACCACTTACCCTGGGGCTAGCTCGTCGATGAGGACACAATGGTCCACAGTGAGTGGGTGGACTCTTCACTCGAGGGCCCTTCTCTCTTCTCCCTTACGTGTCGTAATCTCTCCGTTAAATACTGATTTCTGTAACATCACTACCCACGTGTTTAGTTTTATCTTCATTTATTACAAACAACAACAACAACAACAATATCTACTGATTTTGAAGTAAGCCTTCAATAACGTGAGTTGATTTTTGTCGTACATTATGGTATCTTTTTGCAGTAATATTATAGTGTTTTCTTCGTATGAAGGTTTACAGTTATATTTAGAATTTTCGCAAGTTTGTAGGTAATATATTTTGTGGAATACAACAAACGTTTTTAATATTTTTGGTGTACTCTATTTCCTAGTCATAAAAGATTCAGCTTCATCATAATAATTGTAAAATATTACTCAGGTGTAATTCAATAGTAAGCCAGCTGTGAAGTCGGTAGTATTTTACAGGTTTCAAAATTGAAATTAAAGTAACATAGGCCTACTTTGTTTATGATCAGTTACAATATAACGTCAAGACCTCACTGTATTTATGTTGTGGTGTTTTTTACTCAACCCAAATGAATACAGCTTCCGTTGATTTTTAAAGACAAAACAAACTTAATTTGTTGGTATCCTTATTTCCTTTACTTCATTTCCGATCAGCTATATGCATTGTTGCATCGATTAATGTTAGGTTTAGTGTTATTGAGAATTTATTGTAAATAATAACACTCAACGTGGTGTTTTCGCAAATGAAATATGTATTGTAGGTCTACATTTGTTGGTTTTATTAGGATCTGGTATCCTTAATTTTTTTTTACAATTCCATTAATGGTTCATTTTGTAGGTACTGGAACTGCACATAGAGACTTAATTTCAAACCTATCATGCCATAAACTTATTTAGTGCCCAATACATTATCTTTGAGCTTACGAAAACCCTATGTTGAGTATTATTGACATAACATTTCCAATCACCCTAAAACTCATAAATAAATAATGCAACAACGCATATTAGCTGATTGGTAATGAAATAAAGGATACAGGGATGACAACATAAAATGGGCTTGTTTTGTTATTAAAACGTGTCTTCGATACTTGCATTTTGGATTGAGTAAAAAAACCCCACCTTGTATAATGTGCACAGTAAAAGGCCATGTTGTAAAATATTTACTTCTGAGCTTCCTTTTCCCATTTTGCTATGTTGTTTGTAATGGGTCTTTCTAAGTACTGTATAGCTTATACGTTGTAATAAAAACCCCAGTTGCGCTGAGATTTATTGTATACACACGTGTTGCTCAACATATTGACGGTCGTTATAGTGTTTAAGGGGGAGTTGTCGGGCCTGTGTAAGGGCCACATTACCATAATCAATGATCGCAAGGCCACTCACCGAGAAATGCTCACGCATTCTTCCACGACCGCGGCACAATGCTGCAAATCTTGCGCTCAGCGTTTGTCTCGACGGTACTTTATTTGAGCTTTGATTATGATTGATGGTGTTTTCTATCTGCAACGGTTCCTGATATTTCATGTTGTTTGTTTATATTACAGTATTTTGTTTATAAGCTGTCGATTAATATTTTCGTGAACATAGATCAACCTTTTTTTAAATCTATTTTGAAAACCGATTTCGAAGACCATTTTCGAAAGTATATTTTGTTAATGGATTCCTCTATCAGATAAAGCGAGTGTCTTCACTACATAAATATTTTTAACGCTTCAACTTTTGTGCCATCTTGACACAGAATTTTTGTCCCTGTTGAATTTAACTTAGAGTGAAAAACTTTAAATTACTTCTCCGTTGAAATCTCCGCTAGGGTTAATGCAAAGCCGCTTGACAGAAACCTGCAAAAAAGTTACAGAAGTAATGCAAGTGTTTCAACAAAAAAAAGTCTAAATATATTTTTGTGAAAAAATAGGTACACCTCCGGTCTATTAACTTTTTTGTTTCAGTATATATGATATACGTAAAGCTTTAGGACTACGCTGATACCGGCGTGCTATTAAATTGTGATGATCTAGTTTTATTATCTACTCTTTGATCTATTATAAACCACTATCATAGTTCATGATAATTTATTTATTAGTTTAATTATAAATACAATATATTTTACATTAAATGCGTCCATATTTCACAATAATAAAACGCATGATTAACACATAAGCAGATACAACAAGTTGCAATTCCAATATAGCATCGTTTAGTAAATAGTAGGCCTAAATAACTAAAAAAAATATTTTTTGTTCCAGAGAAGAATATGACAGTGGCCATTTCGTTGTTCATCAACAGGGTGTCTGCTGTCGACGAAAGTAAAGAGGTAACAATTAAATACACCACACCTTAATTTTAATAATATACTTAACAAACGGCGTCATTAACATTATTTTCATCACTCTGAATTCGAAAACAGCCCATTTCCATACAGCTGAGGTCTTCGGAAATCGTCAATTTCTATACTCAAAAAACAAATAGTGATCAGCTGACTTTTCCTGACATATAAATTACTTTTGCTACACAAAAAATACTTTGCCTGACATCAATAAAGTTACAACTGAAGTTTAATGAGCTGAATTTTACACTAAAATTAATTTTACAGCCGTATTTTGTTTAGATTCGAAAAATGAATAGATTACGAAATATCAGATACTTTGTTTAAGTTTGATGAAGAATTTTTTTTTTTCGTGATAAGTATCGTTCAATACTCGTCACGAAAGCCCCATTTTGGGACGAGATAATGTTTTACATGCGAGTCGAATAATATAATCATTGTCGCTTTTCATATTTTTATAACAGTTCCCTTCACAAAAATTAGACTAGTTTGTAATCTGTCTTTATACAAAACCCATTCAAAGAGGTATGTTGCTATAGCAAGAAATTTGTTTACTTTAAGAATTGCCGTAGCTAGTAAGGATTGTTATACTTAAATACCTAAATCCCTAAATACATATTGTTGACCTAAATAAATATTTAGATCAAACAGTCTTAATAGTTTATGGGAAAATATTGAGGTTGTAAAGATAAATTTTAAAATACCCCCGCTGCAGCATACCTGGCGACTAAGCGAATTTCCATTGGTCTGAATTGATTCTGAATCAAATCTATTTAAATAAAATTAGGTTTAAGGAGTACTGTACCTAGGTTTGCTGCTACAAGAAAAACTAATAAAGAGTGTTTTTTAGTAAAACATTGATAGCTTAGTATAAATTAAATAAATCTATCAAGCTTGATCAAAACATATCCATAAACAAGCAAACTACGACATTTGACAATACTCTCCATAAGAATAACATGGGAATTTTAAATTGACATTTTTTAACATTTTCTCCATTACCAATAACCGTACAAAAACCCTTTGATATACTAAATTATTATTTTTAAGCTCTTTAAATAGGTCTAAAGAGAAATTGGGATATTTTGTGGTTTGAGGATCAAAAATGAGAAAACCCATTTTTTTACCCCATCAAACCCCGTTCCTATGGTCCGATCATGCTGGTTCACGAACTCATTCAAGTTTATCCCACCTTACACCTTTAAAAAAATTTTAATCAAAATCAGATAATTTTGCCTATATACATATAAAAATTTAAACGAATGGTGTTTTTGGCCTCTGGAGACATCAACATGGAAAACGTAAATCGGTCCTGGGCCTAATGCCACCTACGGTAATAGCCTCTTCCCTATAGAGAAACTTTCTAAAATGTTGCTATGATTTTAAAACACCTCAGTTAACAATGGACTAAATCATGAACGAATTGGAATGGCCGATGCAACAAAACTTTATATTCGCAACAACATAAAAAATAACGTATTAGGAACAATTAGTGTAATACCCGCACTTGAAAATTGCTCGATTTCAAGCAACAGGTTTGACCAGTTAGTATAATGTTATTTAATGTTAAAGAATAAATCTGAAATATGTAACGATATACAGTATTTGAGTGACAATACAAACAGGCACATGGCTAGAAATTCGTGGATTCGGCAGGTTTGCTATGGTGTTGGTATTGTGATCAATGTTGTATTATTATTTATCACTTTTGTATCACGAGGAGTTACAACGATATTGAAAGATCACATCTCGAATCAATGTAAATATATATATAGCGTGGGAGAGAGATGCGGCACAGAGAGTTGATACAATTGTTGAGCCTCGCTTCTTCATTTAATGTCACTTATTTGCCGGATCTACATCTTGTTCCGTCGTCTTATTGGATACTGATACAGATTTAGTTTTGCAACGTCAAACATAGTTCGTTGTATACCGTTACATTTATTGTGGTTTTGAGCAAAGTAATCTTTTGTGAATTTAATGAAACTTTCGCAAAAAAAGAGTATAATTTGAAGTTATTTTAATAGCAGAAACAATTTAATCAAGTATACCCACTTAGATAAAAATTTCCCATTTATACCTAACACAATTAATATTAGGCTACTATGGTAATTATATTGTATTAATTCCCAAAGAACTGGACTTTTTGATTATACGTTTGTTCAATTTTTATTTGTGGGTAGGAGGATAAAATGTGTTTACGCACACTGAGATACTCAATGTCATGTCTGCCCCGGACTACCGGCTAAAAACCCCTCATCTCCTAGGACACGAGCCTGGAACTGTTAAGCACATTACTTCGGATAGGTCTTTTCAACTATGCCACTCAGGATTTCCTTTTTATTTTCTTCCGAAGGCTAAGGCCCCCGAAGTATGGCCTTCGGTGACTGATTGATACAGTTACAGGCTCCCTTTCCCTGGAGCAGAGCTCCGACTATGTCAGGAGTGATGTCGACGCCGATCTCAGTGATCAAACAGGCTAGGCTGACTCTTACGAAGGCACGGGTGTCATTTCAGTATAATTACTACGGAGAATAATTTCATATAAAGACATTTTTTTAGTTTGCTGTTATCAAAACAAAACGTTCTACAAGGGATAAATCCCGTGGTAACGTAACTTGCATAAACTACCACAGTAGTGTTTAGGCCTACACACTATTAACTGTTTGCGTAAGTAGGTCAGAAAATGCAACCCTTTAACAAGAGTCGACATGATGCAGTTAATACAATATACAAGTAAACACACCCCACTTTTACGCGAGTACTGCGTCTGCTCCCAGACTTTGGTCATGTACTTATTTATTCCATCACTTCCTAATTCGTAGTCCATTCAAAAAGTGGCCTATTAGGAAATTACAATTAATTTTAAAATATCATGGTTCGTTCTTAATCAAACAAAGGATTTGTGGCGATAAACTAACACTGCCACCTGTTTCACATCCAGCTAAATACAACAACTTTTATGTATCTGTGTCAACACTTTGAAATTAATGCGGAGAGTTAAAAATAGCCAAGACGCTACTATAGAGAGTCACGCAAGACATTTTGACAGTTGGTTCATCACGAAAGTAAGATCGCACGTCTGATAAGCGTCACGCTGCGGATGTCACTCATTAACGACCTTTCCTTCTTAATACTTCGTTTACATTTTCGAGCGGAGTGAGCGAAGCAGTAAAAGGCAGTAAAACGCCTTGAGCTCGGCGAGGGTATACTATAAAATTAATGTAAAGTACAAACTTGCAAAGCTCGCCAAAACCTCACATTTTTCGCTTTATTTTACCTATGCATGTTTCAAGAATAAATTTTAACGGCTGGCCGTCTTATTTTACAAGTGTGCGATGCATTTATTTTGTTAGCAGATTGTCTATATACCAACTGAACTGAATTATTGATTGATTGTTTCAACTTAACATCAATTGGCGGAAACCATAGGCACTTAATCAGAACTGGGTGGTCGAAATGTTACCCTCCGCTCCAGGCCTTTATTTAAACAAATTGTCAATAATGAATTGGATTGTGCGTGAAGTGCATTGTAGACTAGTATATCCAAATAAAAAATTTTGATAAAAGTATCACTTTAAATACTACTCTATCTGGAAATGTATGAACGTGATATGTTTAACACAGTTATCTATTGTTTTCTCCAACATCATAAATTACAAACATATATTAATAAAGTAAGGGATTATTATTAATTTTAAAATAATAAATTTATTTCAGTTAAAATGGTTAGGTTCGTTGCAAAGAAAAGCCGATTAAATAGGTACTGTTTTAATAAGTGATGCTAAATAAAAAAGAAAAATTATGTCAAACTAATGAAACGCAAAAGTAACCAGTTAAGCTTTATTCAAATAAACCAAACTGCTGCATAAAATAGACATTTTAAAACTCAAAAGAGAGAAGTTGAGGTGAAGTCAACAATATTTAAACTAGCATCGGTTCAGTTCTAAAATTGATTAGCTCTCGTAAGAGAAGTACGGTAATCAAAATATTAATTCGACGAGTTTATTAACCGTTTAATAAACGGTGTCAATAGCTTTGTGTTTCCTTTTGTCTAAAGAAGATTATTAAGTGTATAAAAGACGTTTTAGCCGTAGTAACCGTTTAAGCATTATCTAGCAGTACTGGTAGCATTTTATCACGCGTGGGACTAAACATTAAGACGTTTATATGTTTTATCAGTATAACGAAGTTTTGTCAAAGCTAGCTCGTACCCATGGCTTCTCCTGCGATGGTTATACAGCATTATAGGCCTACAGCATAAGAAATAAACAGAGTATTACAATCATTACAATAACTAGGTGTACAATGCAGTTGTCTGCTTGCAATACTGAGCGGAGCCAGCATAATAAACAAATACCCTTTTAAAGTCAATCCTACGTCTGTTACACGTACAGTAAATGGGATGTCTACGTCAGTCTACTTGCAATGGTAAATCTAGTCCACGTAAATGATGTCTCCTTAACGAATCCTAAGTCAAAGATACATATGGTTAACATAAATAATAGGTTGTCTAATTGCATTATCTAATGTCAATGTTACATTTGGTTCATAAAATGTCTACTTGCAGTATCCAAAGTCAATGGTACATTTGGTTCACGTAAACGAGATATCTACTTGAAGTTGAAGTCAATGACTCGTTAGGTTCATGCAAATTGAATATCTATTTGCATTATCTAAAGTCAATGGTTTATAATTCTAATTGGTTATTCAATTTGTTACAATAATAATGCTCAACTGTATCAATCCGATTGTTCTTCCCTTGTGTTTTCTATTTTGTAATGTACTAGTTTTGTGATTTATTAATACACATATGTCTACGATATCTCCAACTGGTTCATTAAAGAAATTGTTGATGTAATAATTTCACCATTGACTTACTGTGTAAACGCCTGTCTACAGGGGGGATTCTTTCCTGATTGTCTCAAAATTTCCAAAATTTGTCCAATTTTCAAAAAAGGGGATAAAAACTGCCCAGGAAACTATCG